TGCGGGTGCGGGTGCCGGTGCCGGTGCTGGTCCTGGTGCTGGTGCTGGTGGTTTGTCAGTAGTAGTAGCAGTAGTAGTAGTAGTAGTAGTAGTAGTGGTAGTAGTAGTAGTAGTAGTACTGGTAGTGGTAGTGGTAGTAGTAGTAGTAGTAGTAGTAGTAGTGGTGGTGGTAGTGGCAGTGGCAGTGGCAGTAGTGATAGTAGTGGTAGTAGTGGTAGTAGTAGTAGTAGTAGTAGTAGTAGTGGTGGGTGTAGGCGGTGTAGGTGTAGATTATTAGTAGGTGTAGGAGTAGGACTAGGACTAGGAGTAGGAGTAGGAACAGCAATACAAACGGGAACAGCACGAACGACAGCAAGAATTACATCAGCAGCAACTACTACAAATATTCACTGCCAACAAGAGCCAATGACAGAGCAACAACTGCAGCAACAAGAAGAAGAGCAATATCGCAACAATCACAACCAAAACCAGGAAAATGCCAACCCAACTAAAGCCAAGAATCTCTGCGTGGTGGTGTCGTTCTTTCCTCTGATGTCTTCGCATTGAGCCAAGCTTAAGCTGAGGCCCAATCCCAAGCCAACCAAACGCGGTCTTCGGAACATGGCTCGCAGACTGAAGCTGCTTCCCCTGAGCTAAAAAGATGGCGTGGGCTTGACAACACCACCCGAGCCACAGACGCTGGAAGTCCAAGGGGTGATGGGTGTTTGGGATGGTGAGATGCTAATGCAGGGGCCTGAATCATTAGAATAGGGCTTCGCCGTATATTTATAGCATAGTTATACTAAGGAACCCCCAAATAGTATAGGCAGCTATAGTAGATTTGTATGAAGCAACCACAGGCCGTGCACTGAGGGGCTGCTATGGATTTTTGTCCGTATCGGCACGATACACCAGGTTATAGGGCCTGGAAATAGCAGCTGGGCAATTACATGAACCGAACAGCTTCGCACAATCTGGCAGCATCTACCGACACAGCCGTGGATAGAAAGACCCACAAAGATTCTTAAAGCTGCTTAACCAAGCCTACCGACTATAAACCCCTAGGTGAAACCCTACCATTGTAAACCGTCGGCCCTACACGCGAAGCGTCTACCGGAAGCCATGCCCCGTCAAAGCAAATTGATCGAGAGCGCTCTCGTTACTTCATCGCTTTTCTTTGCATTTCAGTACCGAGTACTACGATGACTGATTGGGCTTTGCTGCGCTGGTGCTGCTGTAAGCCAGTGCGCTATTCGGAAACTTGGTTGGCAGAAGCGGGGCACCACACGAAGTCCCACAACTTCCGGGTCTTTCGGCTGCGTATCATGCAGAGGGATTTCGGTTGTGGGATTTATCTGTGTCAAAGACTCTAGGGATGCGCTGAACGGCGTGAGGGTTTATATGGGTCTTCTCGCGATTTGCATGGAGCTTTATTCAGGTTGCTCTTGAAAGCTGAAGGAGGGCGCGTGGGTATAAGGGTTCTGCATGTGCTTTTTCAAAAGACTCATGTTGCGGGGTGCGGGACTTACGTCTTCTAGGTATCGACGCTTCGGCATCACATCAACCCGAAATTCGAGATCTTGAGCGCTGAACCTCCAACCACAGCCCTAAGCCCCAAAAAACCTGAACCCTGCGTCAAGGGAGCTATGGTTCAGGGCTTGGGAGCCACGGGTCCCCGGCACGTCCGAGGCGTGCACAGTGAAGACGGCATCCGAGGGAGCTGGAAAAAGTAGGCGCCTAGCCAGAGCAGAGGAAGCTCCTCTTGCCAGAGGTTTACTGCTTCGGAGAGACTCTGATGAGCGCACAGTCACAAAGCAACAGGTTGCAAGCAGCCCAAAAGCATTGCAGAGTCCCTCAATCTTACCACCCCTAGTCCCCAAGCCCTTTAACCATGCAGAGAGATCTGACGGATTTGGGGTTCAGGGCTTTGCGTCCAGGCCGTTGGTGTTCTGGCCTGTAGCAAGCAACAAGTTTCGATGCTGGCCCCTTCTGAATTTCTAGAGCAAGTCCAAACGATTCTTCGGACTCCTACTGCTCCGCAGCTAACCTCTCATGAGGCCTGAACCGCAAGCTAGACGCTGTTTGCCACTCATGCTTCAAGTGTGCATGTGCTTATATGGTAACTGAATGCACGTCATGGCAAGTATTCGTCTACTCTTATCCAGCTTGCGCTCCTTGCCCAGTTCGTGTGAGACAGCGGAATGACACTTCTGAAGTAAGGTCACGCAGACATTCGATAGTAAGGATAGCCAAGTCTCCTCAAAAAGGTCTAGTTTCTAGACCGTGAATGACCGAGGACAACATGCGGCCTAGAGTTCACACCTGGACTTTGTGGCTGTGGCTCCAAGGCACAACCTCGACGTGCAAATCCTGAGTTTCGGTCGTCCCACTTGGTGGAGTGGGGGATGTCCAGGTGACGCCTGAAACAGGTGACTCCAGGTTCCAGGCAGAAAAAAACGACCGGTGTCATCATCCTAAGCTCACGTCCTATACGTAAACCTATATCCTCGACACCGACACCTGATTAGCCAGGAGCTCTGTACTGTCACCTTTCCCAAATCCCCATGTTCAGACTGTGTCACACATGTCACACCACCCAATGTGTCGAATAAACACTGCGGCATTGGGGGGACTTCGAAGTTACCTGGCAACAACAACAACCACAACAGAAGTAGTGTTAGAATAAAAGTGCAATAGTTGAGCCCCTTCGACCTGAATCTTCACAGCCTACTGTCCCGGCGAGGCTTGCAGGCATGGCACCTTCACAGGCACTGGGATCTCACCGCCGGCTCTTGCGGGGTGTTCCACGCCGCATCCTTGACCTTCATTCGGGTTCAAGTGCTAATATGTCGAACTTTATGTGGCAGCTCTCCCGATGTGTTTCGTCGTTCGTAATTAGACGGATCTGCAGATGCTCGGCATGAAATGCGAGCGGCCAGCACTGGCTGACCTGACATGTTGTGTCTTCTCATAACAGCTGCACTACGTTGCTTCAGTGATCCGGCGGGCAGCTGCCGTGACGGGTCACGCGAAGCGACGATTTTTCACAACAATGGGAACGGAGCAGGCACCGCATTCTAGAAGGACATGGCTCGCCAAGCATGCTGGTAAGGGAGGTCGGCACAGGCACAGTTGTTTTTGGAACGGTCTTCACCGAGTCTTCACTGCCAAACAAACCCACAGGCCGGAATGACACCCTAAACCTCCCAAAAATCCAAAAGACTCGACCGTAAACCCTAAACCCCCTCTCAGATCTAAAGCCGCCTCCATCCTAAACCCCTTAACCCCAAACCCTCAGACTCAAAACCGCCTAAACATACCTAAGCCCACACTCAACGCTAAACCCTAACCCCTAAACCCTCGCAAATCTCAAACCTAAACATACCTAAACACGAATCGCAAAACCTCTCCATGCCCAACCTGTTTGAGCCAAGCGCCCAGCCTCGCAGGTCCTGGGGCTTGGGCAGAAAAAAAGCCAGCGAAGGTCGGCAATTGGATTATTCCTCACAAACACATGCCCACCAGAAGTCGCACCGCCTGGCTGTCGCACACCATCAAACCCACGATGCAAACCCCACGAATCGTACCCCCCGGCTGTCTGGCATTTTCAAACTTTCAACCCATGCAATGAGCCCCCAACAAGCAAAGAGCCTGCCCGTAACAGATTGCATTCTCTGGCGCTCTGCTACGTCCCGCCAACTTCACAACAAAGACAGCCCAGTCCCCAGCGAATCGTACACGTTAGGTATCTAGTGACATCGCGTCTAGTTCATGATCGGGATATAGTGTTAGAAGCTTAGTTTAAACTTCTATTCCTTATGGGCTGAAGAAGCCAAAAAGAGGTAAAATGTTACCCAACTATGACAAAGACTTTCACAACAAAGACAGGTCTTGCAAGTCTGGCACCTCCGGGCTGAGCTAAGCGTGGCCCTTTGCACTGCCCGGCCGTCTGCAACGAGCCCAGGACAAGTACTAGCTCAAGCCCTATTTAATTTAGTATTATGAACTATTTTTTGTCTATATACTGATTGTTCATAATACTAAACATTCCTAATTTATAGCAACTTTAACAAGTCGTGTTTGGTACATCCCTCAAACTTCACAATGAAGACAAGCCGATCCCTGCAGCCACTCGGACTCCCCCCCCCCCCGTCTGGCACCAGCACCATCTGTTTGACAACGAAAAGGCCCTCCGGTGACAGATCGTACCCACATCTGTCTGGTATCTTCAGGGAACGAAGCTTCGTTTTAAAAAAGCTGAAAAGCAAAGCTTGTTTTGCGCCGAAAAAACTTCGTCTGTTGAAAGCTTTGGGACTTGATCCCGTTGAACGCTCTTGGGGTGGGGAACTATCATCAGAACCGAAGTTTCTATTTCTTTGCACCTTCACAAAGCTCGAAAAGCTGACGGGTGTTCGAAGAAGGTTTCAAGTGCATGGCGCGTAAGATAAGATTTCAAACGAGTTTTACTGGTGCTTGGAGGTTGTTTTTAAGAGGGATGAAGGGGTGTCTGAAGCCTGGCTAGGAGGCCTGGCTAAGAGGGTTCCAAATCAAGGAGGTCTGGTTTCAACAGGCTTTTACGCGGACTTGTACGGAGGGGGGCTAGAACCGCATAAGAACCGCAAATGCATGAACGAATTCCGCGAAGGATTTGCAAACGGTGAGGAGTTGGAAAGTGATGAAATGGTTTGAAAACGTTGGAGGGCACCACATCTCCAAGCACCTCGGAAAGCCCCTGAGCACTCCGAACATGAACCCCATTCAAATTCCATGCATACTCAAGCCGAAACCGCGAGAGTGAGCGTAGCTTGCTGAGTTGAATCAGGAAGGGGGGCCCCGAGAACTATACGCCCGCCACGCCACGGCTACTGCCTGAAAACCCATTTTTTGCAAATGAGCAATGTGTCACGTGATGTTGGTTGCAGCTACCGCTGCTCCACGCTGCCAAGGGGCGGTTGACCCACGCCGGAACATCGCAGACGTCGAGAAGTTCACACACCTACCAGCGTCTGTGCGGACGTTGCGGTGAGCTGCGTGCCACATGTGTTGCATGTATTGTGACTTGTGATACAGCAAGATGCCAGACGCCGGAACCCGAACAGCGAATTCTCGATGGCATTCCCCAGTCAGCAGCACGAAAGGGAAAACAATGGCCCAGCCTCGCTGGCAAAATGTATGCAGTTCTTCTGAAGCAGATCGTAATCCCGGCCGGACCAGGTGGCTTCCTGCAGCTTCCACATGTCTCAAACCTCTTCCCTCACGCATGTCCGTGCGGAACTAGGGACAGTCGGAAACTGAAGGACAAAAGGCTGTCCGAAGCATCGAAACCCCTCTTGTTGCAGCAGCGCATCGAGGACTGCGTAAAAGTCTCTCAGCTGTCGCTTGGAAAGCGCCGTTGAGCCCCTCGGGTAAGATCAGGGAATTACTGCGCGAGCGCGCCTCAATATAGCCACTATCACTATCCATGTGTTTCAACCAACACTGGCATCTTCCCCACTTCCAAGGAGCACTTACAGCTTGAAAAACATGCAAAGCTGGAACGCAAGTGGGCTGCAATGATGGAAGCAAGCCACAGCCGCAAAGCCCACCCTTCATCCACAACGAGTTCCAGAGCTCCGAACACTCCAACCCCAAACCCCCAAGATCCAGGCTGCAAATTCAGAATTTCACACCAGCTGACACTGGCCATGAACAAGTTTGCAAAAGCGATTGCAGAAGCAAGGGGTTTGCTGAGAAGAACATAACCTTCGCATGATCTGGCGCGACCCAAAGGAATGTGAATTGCAGTACTCCAAAGTACTAGTTCGATCGGGCGTCCCGTTTTGCAGGGGCTTCTGTATTATTGTGCTTCATGCAGGACTAGATAGACGGTTGAGCCACAGATTGCCGCGTGGATTTCGCTTCAGGGCTGCAACTCCACATTTGGTTCTCAAGGGGAAAACTGTCGGATTACTTGGACCAGTTGCCCATTCTCACTGCCGAGGCACACACAAAGGCTCTCGCGGAAGTGGTGCTGCTCCGCAGCACGCGGCTTGTGGCGGCAGACGCCGCTTCCAGTCGGAGTGGCTCCGAAAGCCCACCTTCCCAGATTCAAGGGTTTCTAAGCCGACAGTCCGACTGTTCTGAAACTTCTTCGAGTCTCTTCTAGCTCTGAAAGAGGCCCTGACAGGCTGAAGCCAAGCAATGCCCAGCCAGGATCCCAAAATCCCATCTCAACACCGGAACCTCGATTCTCCTTGGACTTCCGCAGCTTAGGCACTCCTCATCTCCTACCTGCACCCCCACGTGGAAGACGCCAAAGAGCTTGACCTCGGATTCGAGCAACCAGATTGGAACCCCTTTGGTGCAACCTGAGCCACGTACCATGCCGGCTCAAATGCGGCCTGGCCACAGGAGAATGCTGGTTGGCGAAGAAGGCGTTGACCCATTGCACCTTGCAGATTCAATGCAGTGCCGAATCCATGGCAGGCAAGATGTGCAACTCGAGATCCCACACAACTGCGCATTGCGGTCGCCTGATCTAGCCCATGCGCTCTTCCGTCAAAATCGCCGAAGACCAGAGAATCTAACATAGCACGAAAATGACTGTACCGAATCTGTTGTAAAACTCTCTTCTGAAACGGACTCCCAGGCACGGAATCGGCTTGAGACACGTCGTAGATGTTCAAAGTGATCTTGGTCTCATTGGCCTTGGAAGGAGATGGTGGCCGCAAGGTTAGACTCAAGGTAGTGCGGGTTGAGATTTTCTGTTGTGGGATGCTTGGGTGTGCTTCCAGTTCAGCTAGCGCCTGTAAGCCCCGACGCCCCAACACAGTCCCTCGATTCAACTAACCAAAAAAATATAGGGGCAGTAATCATCAAAACAGGGCTTGCAGGCTCTACTCGATTGGGACGCTGGGAAGTAGTATTAAACATCCTAAAGCCCTAAACCCTAAACGCCAGAGGACCGGCAAACCCGCAAAACCAGGAGCCCTAACACGCCAAAGCCCTAAACCAAAGCCCTAAACCCTAAACCCTAAACCCCAAACCCCTACGCCAAAGCCCTAAACCATCAACCCTAACATCCAGGGCCCCTCGATGGGGTGCTAGGGCTTTCAAGCTTGAGGGTGGTAGGGTGCAGCGTTTAGGGTCGCTTTTGGGGTGTAGGATGTAGGACTGTGTGGGGGTTTCAGAGTTGGGGTTTTGGGGTTTTGTTCCTATAGACTGGGGCTGTCGGGCCGGGCTTTGGGGGGTGGGGTGCTTAGGGTTTAGGGTTTTACGGTCTAGAGACAGGATGAGGAAGGAGGTTCCAAGCAAGAGGGTCATTGTCCGGGTTTAGGGCGCAGGGTTGAGGATTCTAGGGCTTTAGGTTTAGGTAACCGCACTTCGGGCCCCTCGAACCCCCAAACCCTAAAACCCAAAACATAAATACTAGGGACTCGTATTACGAAGTACGCCGTAAGACTCGGGGGCAGGGTTTACGCTTTAGAGTTTAAAGTTGCAGGTCCTTTGAAATTAGAGCTTGGGGTTAGGGTTTAGGGTT